TCAATCAAGGATTGAAAATATTTTGGGGGGGGGGTGGGTTGGGGGGGAGTTAGGTTGTTGAAGATCTGTACCATGGAGTTAGGTTTACAGTGATGATGATTGCGTCTATACTGAATATTTACAGACTTTTTGTCCTTGCAATTATTCTCTAAACAATACACTGCAACAACTATTTACACAGCACTACATTGTATTAGGTATTATGGGTAATCTAGAGATGATTTAAGTATATGGAAGGATGTGCCTATGTAGGTTATATGCAGATGTGCCATTTTATGTAAGGTGCTTGAGCATCGGAGGATTTTGGTATCTGTGGGGCAGTTGGGGGTGGGGACTGGTTCCAGGATTGATACTGAGGGGCTACTGTACTTTGATACTTTAGGTATGTGGTTGCAGATGTCAGGGTATCTCAGTTGTTTGAATTGCGCCTGTGAGCTAGCAACTGCAAAATGGGAAGAGAGAGAAGAAAATGTTGTTGTTTTTTTAAAAAAGAGGGAAAAACAAATGGAAAGCACATGAAAAGAAGGAGGCAGCATCTGAAAAAAAGGGCAGTTCTATTCTTTCATGTCCTTAGGATAAAAACCCTGGTGTCATCTCTGACTTTTCCTCTTTCATACCTGAAATCTAATCTGGCATCAAATCCTGGGACTCTATTTTCCAAATAGATCCAGGATCCAGCTACTTCTCACATTTTTTCTACTACCTGGGTCAAACCACCGTCGTCTCTTGCTAGGTTGGGCCATTAGCCTCCTAAGAGGTCTGCTTGCCTCCACCCCATTCTCTTACAGTCTCTTTTCAATATTATTTTGAATTAGCAAAACATGGTAGTTAGCCTATCATATACTTTTAAGTACCCCCCTGGCATCGTGCATAGTTACTACAGTTATTGGGCATATTCCCCATGTGGAGTCACATCCCTGGGACCAGTCTGTAACTTGCAATTTGTAGTTCTTAGTCTCTTTAAATCTAAGTCACGGTAGATCATTCCTGCCACCTTCAGCCTCCCAGTGGCTTTCCATCTCTGGATGGAAAAGCCGTAGCCATTCCGGTGAACAGTGCTTATCTTGCAAAACATTGTATAGCTCTTTCTGAAGATCTTTCATTAAAAACATTTGTATTTTGTTGTAGGATTTTTTTTCGTTCTGTTCCTCGAAGAGAACACCCTGTGGCCAGTGGTAGTAAATCCACCTCCAAAAACTTAGTGAGAAGCAGGTGAAAAACCTGGCATTTTATTCACTCCGGGACATTTTATTCACGAGATTCCTCCGAGTGGGACCAGCCAGTAGGCATTTGTGGTAGAGAGGGCCAGGCATGCACACCTCCTAGGCCACTAATCTCATCACCGTTAGACAGTGATTTTGCATTTGTAAGTTGATAATAATTTACAAATGAAAAGGATCAATTATATTCAGTATAGAATATATACTAAAGAAGGACATGTATCTGAGAAAGAAGCTCAATATTAAATTTGAAAAGAATGGACTTATGTGCTAACCTCCAGTTTTCTGAAATTGTGTTCACTGAGTATTTACTTACGAGTTTATATTGGTTTGGCTAGACTGAGCTCTTCAACAAGATGCAAGTTATGGAATCCTTCCCTGTGCCAGTATGAATAAAAGCTAGTTTAGATGACCAGGCCCTACAGGTGATCAGGGGAGCGTGGTTAAGTAGCTCCAGGGAAAAGGAACCCCAAACTGCCCTTGTTCAGGACCAGGGTAAAATGTGAAGCCCCGTTCTGCATGAAGCCGGCAGGGAGGATTTTCTCCGTATGCAGAATATCATTGAGTTACATGCTCCTTGGTTTATTAACAATTGGAACATACAGTTCTAAGGTGAGCAGTGTCTTTGGGGCGTAGGAATAAGAGATTATTGTAAGTAAATTCATGAAGTAATAGAATTATGCTTAATGGTGTGTGCATGTATACATGCTGAAAACTTAGACTATTACAGTGGGAGTGCTCCTGAAAGTGGCATGATTTTCATTTATCGTGAAAGACTTCAGTTGACTCGCAGGACATAAGTTGCAGAGAGGACTGTTTTTATAGATTGTCATTTAAAAACAAGTATGTCATGTTCACTTGTAAGAAATGATTTTATATTGTTATTTTATTATACTATGAGTATATTGAAGAAGAAATGTAAAGGAACAATTGTAGTTCTTTCCAAACAGCTTTTAATAAAACATTTGCATTTTACTACAAGGTTTTTGTTCTGTTTCTCAAAGAGAACTTGCTATGAAAATGTTATTGAATCCGCCTCTACTTCAGGAACTTGAAAAACAAAATAATGTAAAGGGATCTATTTGTGTTTGTATTCAACTCAGTATTGATATAAGTAAGAGAAGGACATTAAATTGCATAATTTATGCAACAAGGCTTTGTGTTCATATGAACAAAGCTAACATTTCTTCTTAGGAATGATGCAATTCCAAAGCAAAAATTTGATGTCATTCTAATGAGTCTGCTTTCAATTGTAGAGTACAATGAAGCCCTGGTAAAGATTAGCAAGAAATCTTTTTTATTGTAGCTAATAAATCTGTGAAGTAAGCTCTCAGCATAAATCGAAGTTGATCGGGCATGGAGTTGCTTTATGAATAGCCCTTTGAGCAAACTCTACAGTTCTGTATGTGGTTTTAAATCACTGTAAATGTGTAGGCAGGTACATATTACAATTGTCTGTTTTTCTTTTTAGGGCTCATGTAATCAAAGAAGTTTTTGTTGTGTGTATCTTTTCAGAACACAACAGGAATTGAAAATGAATCAGGTGAGTTTAAATATAAGAATTTATACAAATACATTACCTAGATGTTAGACCAGTTCTTGATTTCTAAAAGATAGTAGCACACAACATTCATTCCTCCCAGGTTTTCCTTTCTGTTCTTAATGCCATTAATGAATCCATTGCTTTCATGGTGTGCATTTTGGGGGCAGGGGTTGGCATTTCTATGGAACCCTGAGTAGTGGACTCATTCATTCTTAGGGACCTAATTCAGATTTTCTTTCTTCCTTTCTTTCTTTTCTTTTTTTTTTTTTACCTCTCCACTGCTACACTCTGGTGTTAGTTATTTGTTTTGTTTTGAGGCTTACTAAGCTTTTATTTTTAATACTTTTAATTTCATAATACCCATTGACTGAAAAGAGAATATTAAAAGTTTTGTTGTTTTTTTAAAGACCAAAATTGATCAAATGGGAAACTTTAAGATGCTCTGTCTTTGAAAAACCTGTTCATGGAATAGAAACAAGAGGGCAGATATTGAAATGGAAGATGTGCTTCACCTTTCAGGGGTTTGGGATTACCTGGAGATTAAACAGTTCTGCTGTGGACATTTCTGTAGCCTCAAGGGTGTTCTGATAAGTAGAACCTGTTATATGGATTTAATATATTGTAGAGTAGAATTCTTATTTTCTGATCTTAATATTATTCACTTGCAGTTATAGAAATTTATGAGTGTCAGAAACATTCTCTTTTGAATCTTTATAAACACATTTTTTAAAAAAAGGACAGAACTTAAATATGTGAAGTCTATAATTTTTAGTGCTTAGCGTAAAACTACCAGTCTGGAAAATATTTGTATCCCTCATCAAGTGAAACTTGGGACACCTTTTTATCAGTTGCAGGTGCCTCTAACTGAGATCACAAGTCCCATTTTATTAGGTGGCCAAGTTTAATAAATTCAGTCCTGTGTTGCATTGAGAGATGTGAAATTTTTGGAATGGATTCTTTGATTTCTTTTTATTACTTTCTTTATCAAAATATGTTTATGTTAATGCACAGGACCATACGTCATAAAAATGAATCTGGTGAACACATGGGGCACGTGGTTTCCATTATTTTAAAACTTGCAGATTTACTGACATGCTTTTGAAGGCAAATTGTTTTTGAAATGGTAAAATGGGGGAGGGAAGGAGAACAGTGGATTTTCACAGTCATTGCCCATAAAGTTCTATGCGTATATGTGTCATAGATTTCATATATTTTCCCATTTTAAGACTGATTCTTAATGTGAACCTTGTCACCCAAAGGAACTTGCTTTTCTAATGGCCCAGGAACTGTTGTTAGTTAGAAGTCTTGATTTTGGATTAGAATGATCATGAAAAAAAAAAAAAAAGGAACGACCGTGAAAGTTTCCAAAATGGAATCTAAATATTGACGTTGCTTTTGTTGCCTCATTGTTCAGCAGTCATTATTTCAGTGGCTACAACTTTCACCTTAGGCTTAATAATGCTTTAATCCTTACATCTTATTAGGCTATTAGTAGTTCTAATATTTTATTTCTTTGACACCTCACACATTCGCTTCAATATTTCATTTATATCAAATGAACTTGTATTTAACGAAAGTCCACATGCCATTTAAAAGAGTTGTGACCATTTCTTTTTTTGGCTTTTTTACAGTTTCATTTTGCGTTTGACAAGTTTTAATATCAGATCTGCAGAGGACTGCCTTTGATGCTGAATGCCAAATATCAATGGGAAAGGGTCCTCTTATGTTTCTAATGGTTAGCACATTTCTGATGTGGGTGTAAGTTAAATGGCCTGGTAGTAATGAAACTTTTATTTGTATTATAAAAAGTCCACTTTTTATGAGTAAAATTTCAGCATCTTTAGTTATATTTTCTTTATTTGAGGAATATTAGTTACATGATATTTAGTCCTGATTATTATGTCGTGGCAAAAAATCTGTGAGTGTTTCTGAATAGTTATCCCAGTGATTTTTAAAAATTAAGAATTGTTTCAGGACATTTTATGTTTTTCCCTCTTGTATTTATTCTTCTCATTTGCAGCCAGTGAAAATGAGCAATGCATGCTTCAAAACTTCTAAATAACTATACAAAAGTGTAGATAACCAAAAAGTTTTAACTTGAACCAGATTTGTAATTCAAATCTTGATGGTGAGTTTAGGGTTAGATTTTTCTCTCTAGGGACTGATCCATATAGCTTTGATGAATGTTAGCTGTCAGATCTGGCTCTTGTAATGGGTGTGGTCTCTAAGACAATACGCAGCATCATTCATCCATGTGTGCCTGACAGCCAAGTTTTAGGGACTAAAGGACCCTAGGAGTGAGCATACCATATTGTTTACAAGTTAGTCCTTTAGAGGAAACGAGAGTTCAAAGCCCCAAGCGTGCTGGTATTTTAAGCACTGACTATTGAAGCAGCCCCTGGACTGCTCAGTGTTACCAATGCGTTTCGAGTGGTTGCTTGCGAGGCTTTCCCTCCATTCCCAGCCCTGGGATCCTGGAGCCAAGGCCCACTTGTTCTTTATCCTTCTTTCTCTTCTGGCCTGTTCTCCACTCAGCACTTACCCCTTTAGTACTATCTCTTGTCTTCCCAACTTCGAACCCAGCTTGCTTTCCATGTGAGCCTTTGTTCCTCTAACTGAGCCCAGGCCTGACTGGCAGGCAAGAGGAGCAACTCTCTACCTCCTTCCCTCGCTGTCCATTCTCTTTTCTCTCCATTTGCAAATCATAGATATCCTTTACTCCACTTACTTTACACATCCATCTAAATATTTAACTTCGAGATGTTCCACTATTTTTCTCCTCTTTTTTTCTTCGATTTATCTAGCAGAATCCAGAACTTTATAAATGGTTCTTTCGTTGAAGAGTTTAGAATGCTTTATAGAAGTTCCTCACCTCCTTTTCTTCAATGTCCTTCGTTATAACGTTGATGAGATGCCTTAGGAAGTTAACTCTTATTTGTATCACTTAGCCCTATGCTAAAATTGTTTCATTTTACCACATTGCACTTAAAGTTGCACAATCTATGAATGACATTAAATGAGGACTTACTGTACTTTTACAGAACATAAAAGTGAGTGCAGTTCCATAATGCAACTATGCTCAAAGTAGCTTACAGTAGGTATGTTAGAGTTTAATGCCATATTCCTATCTGTTGAGTGCTTACCCAACATGCCAGGCATTTTGTTATCGCACATACATTTTCTTATTAATTCAGTCTTCATACCCATCCTATGAAGTACAGGCTTTTTAACCATTTTATGGATGAAGACATTAAGGCCCAGAGAGGTGGCTTGGCCATGATCATTCAGGCATGTGGTAGGTCTCTGATTCACACCCAGGCCTGTAGATCCCAAAGCCTGGTTTTTGCTCACTGTGCTATATTGCTATATCAGGATAAGCTGTGTGATGCCGTGCTAACAGGCTGCTCCAAAATCTTTGGGGCTTAACACAGCAGCCATCTATTTCTGGTTCTCAGTACACATCCATTGTGGCTCTGCTATTGTGGTTGCTCAAGAACCAAGGATGATGGAGGCTTTGTCTCAACACATGTCACTTCTGTTTACATTTAACTGGCCAAAGTTAATCATATGGCCACATGTAATTTAAAACTCAGGTGGGGGGAGCAGAGCATTCCGTCAAGTGCCTGGGAGGAGAGAAGAACTATAATATTGGGGTATAGCCCCAATCATTCCAGCTTTATTGATATATATTTAATATATAACATTCTGTAGTCTTTCACCTTGATGATTTAATACAATGGCCTTGATTACCAATTTATCGAGTCACACTTAATTTTCTAAAAAGAACCTTTGTATAACTCTTATTACTAATATTTGAAACTTCTACCAGTATAGTAGCTTATGATTGCAGCATCTCTCTGTCCTCATCAGTAATCTGTGGTAATGCTAGCAATTTAGCCTTCTAAACTTGTTTTAAAGTCTTACATACAAAAAAAAAATCAAAAGGAAGGTATAATCACTTGATGCTGCATATGTAACCCTGAGAACTGTGATAAGCCATCCATATTTCTATCATCTTCACTGGGCTGAAGTTCATTCATCCCATCACTCCTCCTGCATAGACTGCATCCCAGTGTGCTATGGTTCTGCAGTGAAGCAGAGAGGTAAGGGCCCTGCTCTGCAATTTACACACTCGCAGAGGGCGGCAGTGCCAAAGCAGGAAGATAAGTTCAGACAGTGAAAAGTGCTGTGAAGACAGTGCAGCAAGGTAATGTGATAAAGAACGCTGGGTGAAGGTAGGGGGAGGCTCTCTGGATTACATGGTCAGAGAAGGCCATTCCAGAAGGGTGAATAACAATAGAATCATAATAAATTAATAGAATTCTTAATAATAATTGAATAATAGGCCCAAGTAATAAGCAAGAACCAGATATATGAGGATCTTGGGAAAGAAAATTCTAGGCAGAGTGAGCAACAGACAGTACAAAGGCCTTGAGGTGGGAATGAGCTTGCTGGTTCAAGGCACAAGGTGTAAGCCAGGGCTGGAGCTGGGCAATATGTGGGACTCAGACAAGATGAAGTTAGTATGTGAGGCAAGGGCCAGATTTATAGGCCCTTAAAGGCCATGGGAAGAAGTGTATTTTTTATTATAAGTTCAGTGGGAAGCCACTGGGCAGTGACATACTTTGGTTTTCATTTTTAAAATAGCATGCTCACTGTGCCATGAGACTGGATTGTAAAGGGGCAAGAGTGTAGTAATGTGTTTGTTCACTACTGAGATTAACACCATATTTGAGGACATTTTCTTCACTTGGACAGCTTAATGGACCTGCCAGCTTTGTGCAGGAGGGTATTTTTTAATGTTTCAGAACTGTTTGACTGCTTTTCTTTTCCAAAGACGGTATATAAGATTTTCTTATCTATGTCCCCATCTGTTTATTGTTATTGCAGTCTTACTCATTCCTTAACCACATATAATTTAATGCTATTTCAGTAAACTGAAGCTTGTTTGATCCCCACCCCCATCCTTTTTGCCCCAAGAATAGTAAAGAGTCTTTATT